GGGGGGTGGGGGGGGTGGGGGGGGGGGGGGGGGAGAGCAGGAGTCAGGGCAGAAAATGGGGAAGTGTGGAGGAGGCTCAGGGGAAAGAGGTAGGGTAGCAAGGTCTGTGCCACCCAGCCAGCGGTAGCTCCCCTTGGTAGCTGCTTCCTGAGCCTGGTACACTTGCTGCTCCCCCATGGTCATTCTGGAGTATAACTGTCCCTGCTATCAGACCCCTCCTTTTCTGTTTGATGAGAAACAGTCGGATTCCAGGCATGTCCCATTTTTCTGGCACAACCAAACCCCCGTACCTTGCTATCATTTATGGTAGGAGGAAGCTGCATATCAAATTTGGTGATCTTAGCTCTTATTGTTTAGGAGGAGTTCTGGAACAGACTCAGATGGACAGACAGACACACAAACTCTCTCAAATATATATAGACTCTGCTCATTAGAACAGTATGGATTTATCCTGAAATATTATTTTAGTGTAATATAGATCATAGAACCATAGCACACTAGAACTGGAAGGGAGCTTGAGAGATCATCAGGTCCAGTCTCCTGCCTTCACGGCAGGGCCATGCACCCTCGATCATCCCTGATAGATGTCTGTCTAACTTGCCCTTAAATATATCCAGTGATGGGGATTCCACAACCTCTCTGGGCAATTTATTCCAGTGTTTAACCACCCTGACAGCTAGGAACTTTTTCTGATATCCAGCCTTAAACCTCCCTTGCTGCAGTTTAAGCCCATTGCTTCTTGTTCTATCCTCAGAGGCCAAGGAGAACAGTTCCTTGCCCCCCCCATCTCCCTGTGCCCCCCTTTTAGATCCCTGAAAACAGCTATCCTGTCCTCTTTGTCTTCTCTTTTCCAAACTAAACAAGCCCAATTCCTTCAGCCTTCCCTCATAACTTGTTTTCTAGACCTTTAATCATTTTTTGTTACAAATGTGATACAGTAATTGTTTCCTGTGAAAGTTACAGATAAAATACTTCTTGCATTAAGTATGTAAAATTAAATACAAGATTTTGGATAAGTCTGGCTAGTTTGCATCCAAAACTGGAAGAACCACTGTATTTTCAGGTTTGACTCTGAAGGGCAGCTTTTGGAAGGTACCTCAATTTCTGATCTGAGAGGTGGACCAACAGCTGGAGGAAATACCAACTGGAAAACTTTGTATGAGGCTAAATCTGAAAATTTGGGACAAGGAGATAAGGTAAAATCGGGCTATTAAATGCAAACGGGGTATACTACCTAGAAAATAAGTTGCATTTTACTCAGCTGTGGTGTTTGAAATTGCCAGTTGCTGAGGGTTACCCATGGAGCCTATTAGAACGTTAGTTTTAACTGAGTTTGGAAAAGGTTAATCAGATCCTGAAGTTTATGACCTCACTTTTATCCTACTGTAATAGAAACTAGAATCCCCAAGAGAGTTCCTGGCCCCGTTTAAAAAACAAAAACAAAACCAAGAAATTGTGACCAAATGAGCTTTCAGTCTAAACAGAACAGGTTCTGATCAAGTGGGCCATCTACTGTCACCCATTCCCAGCTTCTGGGAAACAAAGGCGAGGGACGCCATTCCTGCCCCTCCTGACTAATAGCCATTGATAGACTTGCTCTCCATGAATGTATTAGTTCTTTTTGGGGTTGGAAGCCACATCTAGCCCCAGTTCAGTGCTTTGTTCATGAGGTCACACTGCCTTTTAGTTTTGAAATGTAAATGCTAAAGCATTTTGGTATATACCTACCAGCATGTAAGGGTTAGAAAAACCTTTTCATATAGACAGGTCATTCCATAATTGTCCATTGTGGAGTTTCTTGTGTTAGCCACTGTCAGACTGGACTTTATGAACCAGATGCATGGCAGTTCATGTGTTGTTTTGTTCTTCAGGCTGTGGTTTTGCTGAATGAGTTTGCAGTACACACTATTGTATAGAGCACGGGCGGGGAACCTTTTTTGGGTTGGGGGCCACTGATCCACACAAAAATCGGGGGCCACATACAAGTGAAAAGCCCCCCCAAAAAACCCCAAACCTGCACTGACAACCCTTGACTGAGAAGGAGAAACGCACACCCTACATTCCCCCTCGCACACCAAAGTCTAGGGGGCCCAGCCCTGCAGTGGGACAGCAGGGAAGCTAGAGCACATCTCATGCTCTGCACTGCTGGGGGGGGGCCTGACTCTGAGACCCGGGGGCAGGCTGGGAGCCATATCTGGCCTCAGGCCTATGATCCTCCACCCCGGTATAGACCCTCCCCCTCTGTTTCACTTTCAAAAGAAGAATGGGGGAAAGTGTGACATTTTGTTGTTGCGAATGAACAGAACATGAATCTCCAGTCTGGACTTGAGACAATGGGAAAGCAAACGTGCTCATTCTAATAACTAGTGATTGTGAACATGGTTCAGTGAAGAGTTAGGGGCTTCATTTAACGTGATGAAGCCCAAGAGCAGTTACAGCAGCAGATTTGAGTTGCAAGTCCCAGTGACCCATAAAAATGAGGCTCTGTTCGTCATAAGAATCCAGCGATGGCCGTGTTTTCCAATTAGTGAGAACTCAGATTCAGAAAGCAATCCCAGTGTTTGTGACTAACATTGTGCTCTCATTCTCACAGGCAGATTATTTCAGCTGTGTGGCCACAGTGGTATTCCTGCGCAAAGAGAACTGCATATATCAGGCATGTCCCTCTCAGGATTGCAATAAGAAAGTGATAGACCAACAAAATGGGTTGTATCGCTGTGAAAAATGTGATCGCGAGTTCCCCAACTTCAAGTATCGAATGATCCTCTCGGTAAGCAAAAGGATTAGGTGAAATAGTGTTTGTTGCTCATTGACCATGTGCCTAGTATGTATGTAATTATACTCCTTGGTCGGAGAGCAGTGTGGTCCAATACATGGGTCCTGTGGGTAAATGAGCAGTAAGCAGCTTATGTGCTGTTCCCAAGTAGGTTAGGTTTCATTGATCTGATTAGTAGTTTGTTTTCGTGTGCTTTAATTAAAAGCTTTTCTTTCCTCTGAAAAGTTTCAAGCTAACTCAGTTGATTCTGGTTTGCAAGTATGGCATGCAGTGCCAAGCATAGATGGCCCGCATCTCTTCTGTTATGAGGATAAACTAATGTAAAATGGCATTTCTTGGGAGCAGTAATTGCACTTTTACAGCTGATTCCTATATTTAGTTCATTCTTTTGTAGGCAGTGTTCTGCGTCTCATGCATTAATGGAACCTGCTTCAGAATAGTGTGTCTGAGAGTTGTTATTGTGACACCTGCTTGCACCGCTCACATTGAGATTCTTTTCAGCCTTTACATTTATAAAATGCTTGAAAAATAGCGGGTTGTACCTGCCTTTAGAAGTACTGTGCTGGGGGGGTCTAGTTGGGAGGGGATCTATTGCTGCAATTTCACTCTGGGTAACAAAGCCTAAATGAAGCAGTGCTTCCAAATAGAAATTCTCATCTTATTAGAAAATCTAAAAATGTACAAAGTACCCTATGGATTAGTATTCCTTCTGTGGCGTGTAGGGGGCATGTGGGAGGTGTGCTCTTGAATTTCACACCACTTGAATCTCCTGTTTTTCACTGAAGCCAGAGAATTCACTTAAGGATTTTGCTTGGTCTTTAACCTGTACCACATTGTTTCTTGGTATTGTGGGAGTCGCAAGGTAGTGTGCTTTTGCATGCTGTTTTGCTGAAATACCTGGATATAATTTGGTTTGAAATGGAGATATTAAAATTAAATTAGGACACAAATTGGTTTCTTAGCCTGCAATCTCTCCCCCCCACAACCAGTTTAAGGTAAAGCTCCAGCTGTGTCCATTCCTACAAGAGTGTTGGCATCTGAGTTAGTGCGGACTCTTACTGTTCCGTTGAAAGCACTATGCATCTGACGCTTAAAACATAGTCTTTAAGTTAGTCATAGCCTGTGCATCAAGCCCCAGTTTCCAAAGGAGAGATGTACATCAGGCTTCCGCACAGGAACCCCGCCTACCTCGTATAGTGTGGCCGTTCTGTCTGCATGCAGCTGCTTCTCCTGTTCACTGGTATGCAAAAGGTATAGTGCTGCTTGCAGCTAACTGCATTCCTTGCTGGGTTGCGCTGAGCCTAATGGTCTGTGGTCTGCTCTCACTTGCACTAGTACTTGAGGATGATGGCAGCATATGGCTGCTTTTCCCTAGGCTGAAACTAACAGCTTGTTGGCCCCTCCCTTTGACTCAGTTTGCAGTTTAACACCAGCTGAGGCTGAAGCCTGTTAAGACAGTCTCTGCAGCCAGGGAAAGGGTTAAAAAGCAACAAGGAGTCCTGTGGCGCCTTACAGGCTAACACATTCATTTGGGCAAAAGCTTTTGTGCAGTGGAGCCCACTTCATCAGATGCATCTGACAAAGTGGGCTCCAGCCCACGAAAGCTCATGCCCAAATAAATGTGTTAGTCTCTAAGTTGCCACAGGACTGGTTTTTGCTGAAACAGACTAACATGGCTCCCCCTCTGAAATATGAAAACAAATGTTGCCCTTTGTTCCCCAGTGAGTACAAATGGTTACAAAAGGAATGGAACTTGGGGCTGCAAGTCACACCTGAAGTGTAATCCTGTCCCCAGCCATAAAATAGAACTTGATTCTTGAGTGGGAGGCAATTTGGTTAAATGGCTGTGGACTCTTTTTAGGTGAACATTGCGGACTGTCAGGAGAATCAGTGGGTGACTTGTTTTCAGGAGTCAGCTGAGGTAATTCTTGGCCAGAATGCTGCTTTCCTTGGAGAACTGAAAGAAAAGGTGAGTCAACTAACTTGTTCCTTTTAAAAAAAAGAGCGAGAGAAAACAGGAATTGTTTCCATGTATTTTGTCACAGGGTTTTGGACACTACCAATAGTAGCTATAGCACAGTGGCGCTACTCTCAGAAAGGTCTCTTGTCCCTTCTCATCCTGTCGCTTGTAGACCTCAGTGTTGTGGGCTCGGGTTTATGGTTCTCCATTGGCCGTATCTGACCAGAAGATTCTTAGGTTCTTGTCCCCAATCCAAGTTACAGAAAGAGAGAGAACCCAGAGAGTTCTATTCCAGAAGGGGAATTCTGGGGAACGTGGCAAGGGCACTTAGAGGACAAAACCAATTTGTTAAAACCTTTATTAAAACAAGTAGAAGAGTAACGAACATTAACAGGCATAAAGTTGCTAAAACATAATATATTTCAAGGACTCTGGTAATGTTACAGAATTAAAGAATGACTTAACCCAGCACATTCTCAACCCTTCCTGGTGACCTGATGTTAGGAAACATAGGATCAGCCTCGTCTTTGGCATGCCAATGAAATTGGAAGTCCTGGTAGGTAGAATATAAAGCAGCTAAGCTGTACTATAAACCAAACTAATAGAATGAGTTGCATAGAGAGAGAGAGAGCTTGAAGAACTTAAAGAGCCTAAGAAAGTTTAAGGTAAAGAAGTTTTAAGACAAAGAAGCCCCACTAAAGCAAATGTTATGGATATTTATAGGGTCTTGATGTTGCTGATGTCCAACCCAACCTACTATGGCCATCATCTGTTTCTGCACCCTTAGAATTTCTGGGCACACCTTACACTATAGGTTAATTGATTGACACTTACTACTACATGTTCATCAGCATGATCCATTCCTAAAAACATTGCCTCTGGTCCCTCCCTGAACATCTTCGCTTTGTTGTCTCTTTTGTGATCACTGACTGATTCTTGTGTCAGGCAAACTAACTCAAAGTAGATACAGTTCCAATATGGTTTCCCTAATTAGTTCCCAAATGAAGGGACATCTGTGCTGAGCAAGAATTATATCTGGGCCAGAGGTTGTTTATGCAGCTCCCTCTAATATGCTTTAGCTGTTTGTACAGGATTCAGGCCTGTAGGTTTCTTGCATTACAGCTTAATACAATGAATACCTGTAACATAACATCTATAGCTAGTCTAAATAGAATGAATACAATAATGACTATAATACTAAGTTAGTATAAATCAATCCAGAAACATGTTATCTGGTATGGCAGGCAAACCACTTACTCTTATGGTCTACAAGTTAGACTTCTATGACAATTCACTAACTCTAAAGGGCTCTTGAAGGACGTTCAGTATATCTGGATCCTGCAGCTTGTTCTGTATGGCCAAAACTCCACTGAACACCACTGAAATTAGCAGGGATTTGTGGGTGCCTGGTGTCCGGCTGATGTGGTCTCATTGTAAGATTGGAACTTTTTTTATTGGAATGAGTGTGCAAGGAGCACCTGAGAGACTCCTACTACAGTTAGCAGGAATTTGGTTTTACCCATGGCTTCCTACTTTCTTGTTCATGCTAGCGTAATCTCCTATCAACTCAATTCTGAAACTAATTTTACTGGTGTTGCTTCGTGAAATTCAATTTTGTGGGCCTGACAAAAAATTATGGCTTTTTAAATAGTGTGTGCAGAGATGTTTTAGACATCTGTCTCATCTGATTTGAATAGTTTAATAACCATTTACACTTTAATAAAAATGACATTTTTCTTATCTCTATGTATACATACCTGTCCTCTACCACAATTTCCCTTCCTTCCAAAAAAACCCCCTTCGGATTTTTTCTATCTTTTTCTCTTGAAAATGATCTTTTGGTGTCAAAACTGATATCAGATGTGAAACATCATTCAGAAATACTTGGCTTATTAAAATTGTATTAAGGGCTGTGTGATTTAGTGGAATGTCTGTACAGATTTTAAAAAGTAAAGCTTTATAAGGGGGAAAAAAAAACCCACTGCTCCCACAGTTTGTGAGATCGTGTACTGTACTTGAGAAATAGTATGTGGCCATGTAAGCAAAGGCTATATTAAATAGACACATGACAGATCATTACCATAGCTTGTCACCTTAATTTTTCCCTCACTTAACAGCTTTTCCATGCAACTTAGACAGTCGTATAGATATTAAAAATAAAATTAGAACAACCCCCCCTTTTTGTTGTATGGTACCTTTTCACATGAATAAAGTGTCAGGATGTTGGGATACATGCAGCTTCACTAGATAATTACAGAAGCTGAATAAGTCTGATGAAACTGTTGGCAGTGAAATGGCTAACCATCTTGGCATGTCTGTGCCTCTGGGCATCAGAATTAACTCCAGTTAAGTGCTGTGAGGGTGTGGGGGATTCACAGCTGTTGGTGATCTCAGTGTAATTCTCTGCAAACTTAAGACAATTGTGCATTATTTCACATGGCCAATCAAGACTCTTTAACATGGACTAGAAGCTTCATCTTGTTTAAATTTTAATTTAAACTACAGCTGAGTAAACTAAACACATCATTGGAAGAGCAGGCCTCTGGCCTAGATGTTACTATGCTGCATGCTTTCATTGATCCAGTAGTCTGCACTGTAGGGTGCAGTTGGACGCTTGGCAAGCTGTCCTCCCATGTCTGTCTTTGCACCCTCACAGAACGAACAGGCATTTGAGGAACTGTTCCAAAATGCCACCTTCAGGTCGTACGAATTCAGGATCAGAGTCAAGCTGGAGACTTACAATGTGAGTACCCCCCGCCAGGGGAAGGGGACATGCAGCTTTGCTATATTTAGACTGGATTGACAGGAAGTTGTTTCCTCCTTTTAGGCTTTGGGGGGCGGGGGGGTGAGGGGAAGAGCAGCTTCCAAAAGTGACAGTGGCCACTCTCACTAAATAAGCGTGGAATGAGAGAAGGATCAGCATCATTCTGTGATGCTGCTTCTCTTACTCAGCAAAATCTAGCTTTACACTTGGTTTTCACAGGAAGTACTAGCTCTGGAAGTAAATTTGACACCAAGAATAATGAAGCTGCTTGGGGCAAGGGCAGATTAGAACTCGTGTCTGGTGCATGGAGACCCAGCTCTCCCTCTCTTACATACCACTTTTCTCTTTCAAAGGATGAGTCGCGTATTAAGGCTACAGTGATGGATGTGAAGCCTGTGAACTACAAAGAATACAGCAAAAGGCTGATCATGAGCATCAGGAAAAACGCAGTACAGCTAGGATGAGAAGGATGGTGCCGATTGAGCTGAAGCTAGAACTTCCATACCGAATAACTAAAGAGCCGAAGTTAAACTGAGTTCTTCCCAGCCCCCAGTGAGAGTTTGCCATTAGTTACACAGTGCTTGGTAGCCCTTAGAGTGGGAAAGGGATTTCATGGAATTCTGTGAGCAGATATCCCGGCGGTAAATAAGGCTGTCGTGGTCAAACTATGGCAGAGCTGAAGAGGAGTCTCTAGACAAACTGATACTAGCTTCTCCTGCAGGCCTGCAACCTGCGTGAAGATTTCATCCTTCAGACATTTTGTTTGCCTTTGCTAAAGTAACTGCGCTCTTTGGTGGTTAAAAGCGAAATTAGAGAGCGCTTTTTTAAAACGTGATGATATATGGCACCCTTGGCACTTCTGACCTGTTCTGAAGAGGGTGAGAGGGAGAGATTGTCATGCAGCTTTCTGATGTGGACTAAAGAGAAAGGGCCTCTTAGCTCGAGTCAGTCCTCTGTCTGCAGAATTCAAAGGCTTTCTCTTTCACAGGTGCCAGGCTTGGAATGCAATGCTTGGAATGGCAATATGGTAGAATTATTAATCAAAGGCATATCTCTCATATCTGAAGAATATCCTTCCTTCAGGGTTTATCACACTGAGTCAGATGGGTCTGATATTAATCAAAATTGTCTCTTCTGGGAGAGGCTGATAAGCATTGACTCTGACCCCCAGGGAAATCTAGACAACTACAAAGCATTGCTTTAGTTTTCACTTCAATTAATATTGTGGTTTTGGCTGATGATTGCACATACTTCCTGCCTTATACATGTTTCCTATGTTGGTGTTTAATTTCTTTAGTTTTGTTTGTAACAGTGTTTAATCAGAAGTTTTTGTATGAGGGGCGGGGACTTGGTTAAAGCAGTGTTTTCAATAAACAAAAACAATAAACAAAGCTTTGTTTTGTTCCTGTGTTGTGAATTCTTTCTTTGAACACTGATGATTTCTTGTTACTGGAAAACAACTAATTAGCTTTCATAAGAAGTGTTCACTGGGGGGGAGGGGAGATGTTACCTTTTTCAGACTCTAAGATTAGACTGAAGAATGGAGTTTTCTCTGCCTGATGTTGGCAGCATGGATATGCAATGATTTTTTTTTACCGTTTCTGTGCCTGCGAATGCTGATGATCTGGCACTTTGGGAATTTTTATTGACGTTTACACAGCAGTCTAATGCTAACCAGGCTTTGAGATTTGTACAGACAGTGAGCTAGTACAGAAAACAGTAATTATGCTACTGGGCTTTTCAGTCAGCAGAGCATGCTAGCTGTGTGTGCTCCTAATCACATTAATTATGTGTTCCCTGGCTGGAACTCGCAGCTTGGCATTTGCTGCGCAGCTCCAAACATCCAGGCAGTCCTGTGGTCAGTTTGTGGTAGCAAAACTGAATTTTGTTAGAGAACTGTAGCTTGTGTACGGGATTAGTGCACTCTGTTTCTTCAGATGTCCTGTTTGTGTCCTTTAGTTTGTGTGTCCTTTTCTGTTTAGGCGCTCTAAATGCTGTTGCTGATAATGGACATGAATGGCATTTTCCCAGGCCCATTAACTGCATGGACAACCCTTTTTGGACTCTAAAGGTAGTGAGTTAGATTGCACTTGGTCCTTTTGCTGATGCCTCAGAATTTTTATGGAAGTACTTGTTCCCTCTGACCTTGCTTGTAAAGCAGTGACTAGAAAATTACGGTCTTCAACACTGTTCTGGATTGACAAATTGAGTGGTAGGAGTGATAATCCGTCTTTCCACTCTGCTAACCAGTCGTTTAGTTCTGCTCTTCTCTTATACTTTGCCTCCCTTCCAATTTGGGGGGACTGAAAACAAGGCGGTGGTGAAATGTTCCTGTGTGGTGAGCCCTGTGGCTTATTTCTCTGACTCTCAAGTTGGAGGAAGAGGAAACAAATGGCATTTTCACTGCACTTGGGTGGACACCTTTTTACCGGGACGCTCCTGTGAGAAAGCAGTTGCCAAATCTGTACTTTAGATTTCTCTTTGGAGATACATTAAAAATAGGTTCCAGTGTTTGCTTCCAAGAGCTTGTTACCAGAAGAGCTGCTGAATAGGTTTTGGCTCTTGGACTTTATATTTGGAAATACAACAGCAATAAAGACCAATTATTTTATTCTGAATATTTTTCACTTGTATGTCAGTGTTTGTCATATCCACTTTGATAGCACTGTTGAACAATTGACCAGAAAAATTAATATTCTGGCCTTTATTTTAAATAATCCTAGAACTCCCTTTGTGTCTTACTGTGCAAGGGACCAGACAAAGAGTAATCCTCTAATTTCTATTTTCCTTGTTCTGTGCTTTGTTAGTCTCTGGTGAGTTGCATTAACTTTTTGAACTGCCTGGTCAAAAATTCCCCTGTCCCCTTTTTGAAAGGACTTTTTCTGAAAGATAAAAATATTGATTGAGGTATTTAATACACTAATGAAAACCACAATTATTGATTATATAATTAATATACCATCTAAAAGTGAAATTTGGCACTGCTTATGGAAAAGCTATATTGACCTGTTCTCCCTTGGCAAAGAGCCTTTCAGGTTTTATTTATAGAAAATGATACAGGTTCCTTTTCAGGTAATGAGTCAGTCTTACATGTCACTTGCCACAAACTAGAAAGCTACTGTTTCCTTTGTTGGCTATCTAAGATTTTCATTTATCGTTGAGTGTACAGCTCGTCCACCCATTCTGCCAGTTCTTAACGCTAAGCCAGTGGTTTTCAAACTTTCTTTACTCATGACCCAGTTGAAGAAAATTGTTGATATCCACAACCCATGATAATTTGACTGGAGTTAGGGCTAGGGTTAACCGTCATGGTTACACACCGGCTCCCAGTATGTGCGGGGAGCCGGCTGCCCCCACCCAGTGCTGAGAGGATAGGGGGGCAGGTAGGAGCTGGTGCTCACGGGCATCTGGCTTTAAAGCCAGCTCACTGCATGCACTGGCTCCCAAGAAGCTGCCTGCCCTCCCCGTGTGTAACCGCTGACACTTTCAGCAGTTACACGTTTACTTGGTTAAAAGTATTTTACCATCCCTAGTTTATAGGAAATGTAAAACTTGGAGAGCTCTGACTTGATAAGTTTGGGGTGAGGGAGAGAGAAATGGGCCTGTGTACTAGCAGAACAGCCTAGGACCGTGGGGTTCAAATGATGGGTCGCGACCCAGTACTGAGTGGTGAAATGTCAGGCACTGGATCTCATTGCTGCAGGGGGATCTGGTGAACAGTGGGGGTGCTAAGGCAGCTCCCCGCCTGTCCTGGCACCACAGACTGTGTTGTGCTCCAGAAGCAGCTGGCAACAGGCCCGGCTCCTACATGGGAGTGAGGGAGAGCACACAGGGCTCTGCACACTGCCCCTGCCCTGAGCACTAGCTCTGCACTCCTGTTGGCTGGGAACATGCTGCTGGCTGCTTCTAGGGCACAGCATGGCCTGTGGGGCCAGGAGAGGCAGGAAGCTGCCTTAGCCCCACCCCGCTGCACCGCTGACCGGGAGCCGCTCAAGGTAAGCTCCTTCTGCCCCAGCCCTGATCCCACACAAAGCCTGGGTCCCCTCTAACACCCCCAAAGCTCCATCCTCAGCTCCACCAGGGAGCCCCCTCACTGGTCAAATTATGCTGGGTTGTGGGCATCAACAATTTTCTTTCCCATCCCTACTCTAAACAGCTGTAACCTGAAAGATCTCGAATTAGCACAGCCTTGCATCAGTGTAATCAGTTCTGCTCTTTTTAATGCAGCTGGGCGTGCAAAAGCCCCACTTCAGTAATAAACATTCTTGTTTGGGCCCAGCGAGAGCCGGGTGCTCAGTGATGTGCAGTTTTGCTACAGGAGAGGAGGCTCAGAGTCTTGCCACTGGAGAACAGGACCGTCTTGCTTTGGGGGTGTGGCGGGGGGGGGGGGGCTGTCTGCTCTGTGAGCTGGGGTCCCCTGCGCTGGGATGGGAGATTCTCACTGACTCCCACATGTGGATTAACCCAGCCTTCCATGGAGGGAGATGAAGGAGGGCGGAGACCAGCACCTGGCTGGGGGGCAGGGCTGGAAGAGAGTTTGAGTTTCTGTCTGGAATCATGGAGGAAGCAGCCTAAGTAGGGGGCTGGGATTGCAGGGCCCAGTCTCCCCCATCTCGGGGTGGGGCCTGTGGCCTCCTGACCCCAGTTCCTATAACCAGATGACATCTGTGCTGTGCTGTATCCTGGAGAAGCAGTAAACTCCCTCTGTTCTACTGGCTGGTGGAGTCTGTCTGTGCCACTATGGGGGTGCAGGAGTTGGGAAACCCTAACGCGCCGTCACAGGGAGGCACACCTGTCTTGTCTCTGAGCCGATGAAACACGGGGGGGCTGGGAGTGTGTTTGACTGGGTGGGCATGTTAAACTGGACCCTTTCTAATCCTCTGAGCCACATGCAGCCTTGCTTCTCTTGGCGACCACATTGCCCTCCAAGTTCAGGTTTACAGCTCCTCGGCGCTACATCAGAAAGCCCGGGTGCAGCTTGGCAGGAAACAAGCTACAGTTCCAAAGTTGTTTTAATTTCCTTGTCATGTGAAATGGTTAAATTTCCTGAGACCCAGGTGAAGTTATTTACATCCCGTTCAGAAGCGGATAACCAAGGGTGTTTTTAGATTTCAAGTCATTTTTTAAAAATTCTTTCACTCCCAAGTGTATCAGCTTTCCGGTAATTGGAGCTTGTGCTGTCATTAAAAATGACAGCTTTCTCTGATAACATTCCTTAGTGCCTGTGAAATGCAGCTAACATAACCTATCTTTAACTTGTATTCGCTAGAATTTCCTTCCAGTGGTCGTTTGTTCCAGAGTCCTGAAGTGAATAGCTGGATACTTTTTGCTGTGTGAACCTAGGACCCTTTAACCTAGTTGAACTGGACCCTCATGTCGTCTTCTCATAGCTTCCCCTGGAGAGGTTAATTTGTGTGTTCAGCCAGTTCTGGAGCAGTGCCCATCCTTTTAGGAGACAGAATGCCCTGCTCTGCTGCCTGTTGCAAGGCAGCCCAGCTCTTGTATGTTTCCTACTAAAGGCTTTTGAAAAGACTTACTCCCACATTACTCCAGCCAGACAGAACCCCTTTTCTCTGTATGGCTGGTTGAAAAATGTTTGCCCAAGGAATCATTAAGGTGCTGTCTTCATAACTGAGACGTTGTATGGCAATCTGCTGCTCTCCTGTGCCTGGGAGTGTTCCACACAGAGCCCTCTAATTAAATAGCGAATGGTTTGCCATGCGAAACTGCCACTTCTGGATCTGCCAAACTCATTTCAGAAGATGCAAGCACTATCTTGAGAGCTAGTCTTAAATGTTTCTTGACTCAGAGAGGGTTCTAACCTCGTATTTTGTTCCACCAGCTGTTTGGTTTTCCGTCTTTCCATATGGGGTGTATTTCCATGCACACACAATACTATACAAATACTCATTAGACTAGAGTAACTCTTACGGGTGTAACTTCTGCAGTGTTGGTCAGGGCTGCTTTGAAGTGTTACTATTTACAGTAGGAACACGTGCAGCTCTCGGCACAGAGCCTTGTCAATCACATGGCTGTCACATTGCTAGGGTGCTGAAGAGCACCACTGCCATTCCCATTTGCTCGAGAATGAAGGGGTTTAGGCATTTTACTGGGCTAATATCTATTTTGCAGACAGACGTGCGTGCTGCAGCCACCTTCTGCACATCCCTATAATAGAAACCATTAGCTCCTGGGTGCTATTGAAGAGCTACAGTGAATAGGAAGAATGTAGAGTACTCTTAATGCATGAGGCATGATCCAGATAGGACACAAATAGCATAGCAGATTACCAGGTAAAATTGGCTTTTACCTCTTCCTCATCCTTCTTGCAGTCTCCTGCCAAACTTCAGCTTTTAAGTCGGTACTCGGCAAAATTCTCTTCTTGTAAAGAGGCCTCTTGTTACCAGT